GTAGCAGTTCTGGTTAGAGCAGCCATGTCATGCTCATTTCCAGCCATTTAATGTTTAATCTTGGGTACCTCTAGATTAGCTTTGCACCTATCATAATTTCAAATAGTAATTATTTCAGAACAGTAAAACCCCAGAGCCTCTTCCTGAAAATGAGAGGATAGTTCATGAACTCCTGCTGCCGATGTGTTGAAATCTGTTTCCCCATCGAGATGTGTTTCCCCTAACCTGAATCCTAACATCATCCTAACCATAACCACTGAGGGGGGCACAACATGGTAAATGGTCTTATACTTGTACAGCACTTTTTTATGCATTGCAGCACACTCAAAACGCTTTCACACTACTTGGCCATTCACCCATTCGCGCACTCAAACACACACATTCACACACTGGTGTTATCACTAGGAGCAACTGGGGGTTAGGTGTCTTGCTCAAGGCCACTTCAACATGTTGACTGGACAAGCAAGGAATTGAACCACTAATCCTCCAGTTAGGAAACGACCCGCTCTATCTCTATAAGCCGCAGCTGCCCCAGCATGAAAAACGAGTTTTGAACAGGGGAAACACATCTCAACAGGGGAACACTTTTTGACACAAGACCGGTCAGGAAGCCAGGACAACACGTAAACAAAAAACACTGACAAGCTACAGTACATTTTCAATAATGGCAATATAGACCAGTGAAAAGAGATGTGTAACACTCTAAACAAAGAGGGTAATTGAGAAACCCCATATTTTAACTGGCATAATGCAGACATAGTAACTTCTCCAGCCTTACAACAATTCTCTCTAACGTTACAGAAACAAGGCATTAACAGTCATGCAACGTGTTTTTAAACTCACCATTAAGTCCCACAGAGTAGTGGAAACATCACTCCCTTTCAAGTAGCTCCAAGGTCGGTAAATCCAACTGGTGGACGCTGCGTCTTCCTCCACAGGACCACATACAGTCCCAAAGTAGTAAAATTAATCCCAAGAGGCAGCATAGCTCTGACAATAACATCATGGGTCATTAATCTGCTCCTTAACCGGCAACATATCACATGTGGCAGAAACATTGTCCTCAAGCAGTCAAAACAAACAGGTATTGTGCTCTGGGGGAATCCAATGTTGATGAGCTGATCATTCACTGCCACTGGGGGCTTCACTGGCCAGCTGCTTGTAGTTTAGACCCAGTCAGGTAAAACAGTGAGTCCCTGTACAGGAACATTCCGGACCTGCAGTAACTTCAGGCCCTGTATTTTTCTCCACATCCGCTGGTCACAGAGCAGCAGCAGGAGGTAAAACATATTTACAAAACTGGGCACAGTTGAAAAAAATCTGCTTTTACAATGGCGCCGATGGATGTCAGGCAAGCTCACATGAACACGCACAGCCTGGAGGATATGACCATTCAAGGAAATCCATAAACTACTGCATAAGACTTTACATAGTTGGAAAAAAGTCTCGCCAGGTAGCGTTTGCGAGATGTGTATAAACCAAGTTGCTTCTGCATATACTGTAAGTACAGCAACATAGGTAGACCTCGTTTTTTGAGTTTTCAGGTATGTTTAAGATGATAATTCATCATTGTAACATGGATAAGTCAGAAAACAAGGAAAAGCACCATGGACTCTTGAAGGTTAGGTGAAGTCTCTTTGAAATGAATGTAAGTCTGTGTATGGACCCTGTAAGTGTGTTTTTGTGTCATGAAACATAATTTCTGCTTTTTGTATATTACTGAACATTTTTAAGGATACAAATGTTGCCTCAGCACCTGTGTTGAATGAACTCTGTTTTCTTTAGCCACGCTGTGGCCTCTAGGAAAGTTCACCAACATCAGCACCACCCTGTTTACTGCACTGCCCTGTAAAAACATGGAGGTATGTGTGAATGCTGGATTTCCAGTGTTTCTTTTCAGGATAAATTACAACATCCTCAGGACTGGATATTTTTACTACTATTCTTATGTTTGCTTCATGCATTGACATATGTATAAACAGCAAACCTAACAGTCATATAGGAATATACGTAAGAATGTAAATCTACACTGGTTTCACATCATATCACAAAATGTAATTCAGTCATGGCTGAAACGAGTTTTTAAAGGGAGTAAAAACACAACGTTTAGTTTATTATGACGTTGTCTTCGTACATAGATCGTTTACAGTGATATTTGCTACTAATGACATTATGGTACAGTATATGTGAAAGAAAGTATGAGTCATTTATGTAGGCATCATTATAAGGTGTACGAGTCAGTAAAAGTTACTGGAAAAATTCCTGCTGTTCACACTAGAAAACAGAGGCTGTAAAGTTTCTGCTTGAAACTGACCGAAGCTATGTGAGTCACATGACCTGCTGGCTTTTTGACCCTTCACTGTTGTAACTCTCTCATTTCTTGGGTATGTCCCAAGTGTCTTATACCGTTTCCCCACTTTTCCATGCATCTTTGTCCCACCCACTAAGATGCAAGGAGGAAATATGTTTTTTAGTATCACAGTATGATTATAACTTCGATGTGTGCTGTGACAAAAGGAGACCATGGTAGGTCACATTTGTTAATTTAAATTACAGAAGTTGTAAAACACTTTGGCCACATCCCATGCTGAGTAGTCTCATGCTGAGTTGTGTCTGTGTGTCTGTGTGTGTGTGTGTGTGCACACAGAACTCGACTGTTACTCAGGCATCAAATGTCAAGAAAAAGAAGGTCCAGCTGACCTGGGAGGCGCCTAGCAACAGTAACTACAGTGAAATCTACTTCAGGTACACAAAGTTACACTCGCACACAAAGATCCTTGTTGATGACACAATTTCCTCACGCTTACCCAAATCTACTTACTTAAAGGTTTGATTTTATTAGTGGAAAAGCATGTGAAACTTTCCTAAACCATCATGGGACAGAATCATTAGTGACTAGTGACCACTGCTGGTACTGCAGCTGAGGTCTTTGACACCCATCACAGTAGCACTGGATTAAAATGACTAGACCTGATTTTATAGCACTTGTTGATCTCCTACTGCATGTCGCCCATGCTCTGTTTTCATGTCCCTGTTGCTGTTATGGCAGTGCCACTGTGGTCGAGGATTATGAAAAGTACTGGGTTCAGCTGAAAAGCAGCCCTTTGCAACTGTACAACGGTGGAAACTCTGTAGCTGGAGTGAGTACTGACTAACTGATTGACTGAGTGTACTAGCAGTTTGTGCTCTGTGCTAACTGGTTGAGAGCAGAAGCAGCTGGCTGACTGATTTGTAATGCTTCTTTCTCTTCAGGTTTTCACCCTATCAGCTCTACTCTTCATCAGTCTGCTGAGTCTGTCTACAGTGGTGGAAGAAGTACTCAGTTTACCTAAATAAAAGTAGCAATACTAAGTAAAACAAGTAAAAATCCTGCAATCACAATGTTAATAAATTAGAAATATCTTGGCATCAAAATAATATATACTTAAAGTACCAAAAACAGAGAGTTGATTATGCAGAATGGGACTTTTCACATGTGTATTATATGGATTATTGATACATAACTGTGTACACCACATGTAAAGCTACAGTATGCAACTTTTTCAAATATTTTTGTTCTTGAAATCTGCTCTAAAACTTGTCTTAATATGGACAGGTGCTGTCGAAGCCTCCTGTGACCCAGACTCAGTGAACAGCACTGGCAGCAGTGCAGAGATATTAGCTTCTAAAGGTTTGGAGCAGGATTGACCTTTATAACCAATCACAGATGTTCAATTATTTCTGCCTGATTAGTCTGTTTTGTGGCATTCTTATTTCTTGTAATTATATAATGACAAATATCTGAAGAGCTGGGCAGAGCGTGGCCGAGCATAGCGATCATAGTAGCACATAGTGGAGCAGAGTGTGTTGAGTTGGAGTTTCATGCTAGTGCTACCTTAAGTTACATAGTGTAGCAATGTTGTAGCTGGTGGTGGTGGTAATGTTAACTACATTATATTTTTATAGTTTGAATTAACTAGTAACTAAAGTTATCAAATAAATGTAATGGAGTAAAAAGTACAATACTCCAATAATACTGTAAGGTGTAGACCTCACTATGTAAAGTGCATTGGGATGATTGTTGTTGTGATTTGGTTCTATACAAGTAAAACTGAACTGAATTAAAGTACACATACCTCAAAATTGCACTTCTCAAGTAAATATACTTAGTTACTTTCCACCTTTGCTGACACAAAACTATGTAGTACTATATTTGTGAGGACACTCATTGACAAAATGCATAATGCATGACAACTAAATGCCGACCCCTAACCCTCAGCCCTCTGAAGTGGTGTCGGACAGGGACTCAACAGGTGACAATGGAAGACAAAAAAGCAAACAAAGGCCAAAGAAATCTTAAGTTCTGAATTTTCCACAAAATAGGTGCCGA